GGAAGGAAATGTGGGATAAGCTCAAAGTCATCATATCGAAGCATTCGCTTCTCCAAGCACTCCATTCACCTACCCACCAATTCACTGCTTCACCAAAAGAAGGAAGTGTAGGATAGAGCTAGGTTCTCCGTATCACTACCTTTATCGTAATCATACTTCTCGGACGGACAGACATACAAACCGACAAACCGACAAACCGGCAAACCTACAAACCGACACACCAAGTTACTGCTTTATAAATAAGAAGGATTATTCGTCTACCTCGAATCAAAGATCAGGTTCGGAGGGAAAGTAGGAGTCTGGCCAACACTTTGTGCAATTTTACAATGACTGTTGCACCACAGCCGTTACCGACCATATTCGATAGGCGTCTTATGAACACCAGTGCAGCCCATTTTGCAGGATCACTTTCTGGCCCTACCCTACCATCCTCTGCTTCCTGGTGCTATGAAGATTTTGTTCAAGGCATGCTTTTTTCTCATCAGAGCAAGTTAATTTGCCTCGTAGCTGTGCCTTACAGCTCAGCCTTCCAAACTACATACTTTCAGTAGGAGAGGAGAAGATGTCGAACATAGGTGCCTCAAAAAAGTCCAAGGAGTAGAAGGTCTTAACCAGGGTTAGCTGCAAATGAGCTCTGTCAAGCATTTCTTCTCTATACCACCTAGTAGAGTAATCCGACGAAGGTGGGTGAGTATGGGCGTAGACTTCAGTACACATGTCATCAAACTAATCAGAGAGTGGAACACAGTCCAGTAAATTGGCGAAGTAATGAAAAACATTCGATGAAAGTAGTAAGAGATAACTATACCGAATGAATGAAAATGTAAATCACATGAATGGACCATAGGGATGCCAAAAATTAACACTACAGCTGCTCACTCACCGATGGCGATACCAAGTAGTACTCGTCCAATGACCAGTACCACTTTAGTCCATGCTACTGCGCATACTACAGCTCCAGCAGTGAAGACGATACAAGCGGCTACGATCACCTTCTTTCTTCCAAACAAGTCTGACCCACGGGCTGAAAGCAGTGCGCCAACCGCGGCGAAGCCTGAAAACGTAAAGCGAGGAGCTCGAGAGTCTTTGAATGTGGTTGGGAGCCAATGATTCTAGTTGGATAGTGTTTTGTGCCACATTCTGTGGTGTATTACCACGACATATGGCGTGCTTTGTGGTGAGCGTGCCAAGACGCGTGCGTACGCGACGCGTAAAGGCCTAGAGATGCATACTACGAAAACGTATCAACAAAGCGCGTTCGTGAATGGTGCGCCCAACTTTTACCATTTGACGTTTTGGCATTTTCAGAGAAAAGCAGACATGCTCTTCACTTTGTGTCCCATCCTTTTTGGAATAATGAAGCCAGTCAATATCCATGATTTGATTTCTAGTGTTGCCTTATGGTCTAGTGGAGTTTGGACACATTGATTAGAGGGAATAGGGGCCAAAAATAGAACGTACCAGATGTGATGCTCACGATTACTTCATGCCATATATTATTGACGGGTTTCATGCCCTTATTATCCGGCACGTACATCATTGCCGCTGTCACTACACCTGTATCGTAGCCAAACAGAAATCCACCTGAAATAGTTCTTTGAGTCTATCTGTTAAGTTCCTCTCTGTACAGAGTACGAGGGGAGGGAGGGGGTACTAACCGGTTGACAATTTTCTCAGTAGGAGGTCTGTTCGAGATCATTGTGGATCGAAAGAGTTATATTCATTCACTTGCGATTGGGCTAATGGGGCATTAGAGTGACAGGCGGAAGCTATCCTCTTCTGCACTGAATTCTCCTATTAGTTGGTTTCGAGTTTGCATTCAAATAGCCTGATTTCGAATTAGTAACCGGCGGCACAAAGTTTTTGAGATACTTATGGGAATTTCTTAGGTCTCTACTAAACCAACACTTTTTGCTAGAGGGATACAAAGCTACCTCTATTGGAAGTCTCTATCGGCCGCTCACAAAGTTTTTAAACGGCCGATAGAGACTTTCTCAATTTTAGCCTTCCAACACAGAGAAGTTGACATATTCCGCATAGGTGCTAGTGATTATGACCATTCGAATGCCTTTCCGGAAGGAACTATGCTCAGACAATGTCCGCTGTCGAATCTTTCTTATTTTTGAGTGAGGTTGTATGAAACAAAAGCTTTTCCTTTCCACTTTCCCTTTGTACTTCGTCAAAAAAGGCGCCCCTGGTTGAAGGTGAGAGTTTGGTGCATAGGGAGGAATTTTTGATCACCACTTATTGACCCTTTCAGAATGGTACATTTAGTCGCTTTCTTTCACTTTTTTTNTTTTTTTGACGCTGCTATCATGTTGCTCGTCTTTAAACGATAATTGAAGTCTCTCTCTCTCTTCACTGTTGATTAGGGCCGTGATAACGAATAGGATCCATTTTGATATCCACATACTATCGTTTCCCAAACTCTGTACATACCCATATTATTTTGGAAGCCTGAAAATTGGGAGAAGCCAGTCAGTTACTCTCGAAGTATTGAGCGATAGTGAGGCGGCATGATTTGTTGCCGATTTTATGACTTCTGAAACACCCTATCAATACAGCTGTAAAAGCGGATCAATTTCTTTCGTAAAGGAATTCCAATGTCTTCTAGTAGTTGATTAATAAAAGGCAAACACTGAATGTGAGTTCTTACTGATAAGGAGAAACTGGCTCTTCCAAACGAATTCCTCACGTTCTCTCCCCCACCGCCTTCTCATTCTCGAGGATGAAAGTTTACTATGATAGTCTGCTCACTGGTTACTGCTCACTCAAGAGAGCCTGATGTATGTGATCAGTAAGGGTAATTAAGTTACCTGATGTCCGGTTTAACTACGAAGTAGTCTTCTGCGCTAGACTAAGAGGATTAACCCTGACGTCAGTCGTCACGTCTGGGTTTTCATCACATCAAAGATGATTGCCACCTTATTAGTGGATGCAGAAGTATGTGAGGGACTGTGATACCCTGATACCCCTAATTCCGTTTTGTAATGCGCCTTGCATTCGCCTTTTCAAAATATTATTGCCGTTTAAAAGTGTATCTCAACCTCACTGTACAAATCAGTACTATTATCTACCCAAAAATCTTAAGCAAAATCTTATTCTGCGAACTCTGGACTTGATAGAGACTTGATAGAAGGGCCAAATAATTGTGGTCATAAGCGTCAGCACCTCTTGACAGTCTGTCATTTACTCTTCTAGCCCATTAACACAATATCTTACGAAAAAAGCGAGCCTTCCATCACTGTGAACCATACACCTCCCGATGCACCTGTGATTTCAAGAGAGCTGATTTGCTCCCTTCTCTGGGGAGTGTACGACTCTTGGGAAATTTGTTTTGGGCTTCCCCGAGCTTATTCCTCAACCAGTGAATCACTCAATTGTCGGCCAGCAACGGTAACAGAACAAAGATTGGAGCGGTCTGATCTGGGAATGAAACCCCACCCACTTTATTATGCAATCATAATTTGATTAAGCCTTCACATATTCGGCGGTCTCGGAAATTGATTGTTCGGAAGGCAATGTGGATCCCATAAGTGACGTATGAGATATTAGAAGAGCTTTCTCCTAGATTTCCAAATTTCAAAGAAGGAGCGTAGGCAATACGTTGGATCAATGAATAGCATGCAGTATTCAGAATAATTATAATTGAAAATCAAAAGAATGCTATGTCTTGACTTATTAAATAGGTAGATTGAACTGAAGGTATGAAGAAGAGTCGAGGACCTGAGTGGTTCGTGTATAAAGCTTTGAGTTTTAAATCTAAAACCTCATTGGGTTCATTCCATCAAAGCTAACTCACCGATGACAGCTGAAAATGCCAATATATAGACGAACCAGCCAATTTTTGGCAGATTTTCTGGCTTGGCTATGCCACTGCTGCCCATAGCGACCTAAAATGAATCGGGTAGAAACCAACACAGTGCCCTTTCTGAGTTGAAATCTAATTTGTTAGGAATTTCAACGTTTTTCCAGGAAAAACTTGCCGTTCTCGGATTATCTACTGAGGGGTCGTCGTAATTATATTTGAAGGCAATCTTCACGTTGAGCTAAACAAATTGGACTTGACTTACTCAGTCCGTGGTTGTCATACTTAGCTGGTCTAGTAACCCAGTTTTCAAAAACAGGTATCATTTTGCCGACTTCCCACCACTAACCCCGCCCATTGTAAAAGCTACGCCTACCTACCTATGGATACCTTGAAAACTAGGGCTATTGACTCATTCACTGAAAATGATGACAATTTCTACTCATAAAAAATAAATGGTTTTTCTAGACAGCTCTCCTACTGTCTAGATTTCTTGGTATGAACTGCAGAATTCAGGTAATTCTTTCTGACCCGTAAGGTTCTCAGCTGGGCTCTCGTGCTTCCCCCACCCATTTTTACCAGCCCATATGTTTTTATTTTTTGGGGCAACATCCAGCCTTCGGGCTATATCGGACAGCTTCTATGATCCCTTCACGGAGGTACAAAATAGTTGCGGATAAAGTAAGAAAGAATTCAGAAAAATCGTCCTTATAGGTGACAGTAGTAATGGATTCACTTACCACGTTCACTTGCACCATGGTTACCAATCAATCGTTGTTTCTGATGGTTTAACAGCTGAAATAATCGAATTCATGAAGTTAATACTTCACCCAAAAAGTTCAGCAGCTGAAGAAAACGACATCGCGAAAAAGGTGCTGTCAGTCCGAATCTTCTAAATTTCTTCAAAATAGCAAATCCAGATTCTCATCGAGATCGAAGACGTCAGAAAAAAGTGGGACTCGAATGGAAAATAAGTAATAGCGGATGCAAAAATTTTCTGAAATTCACCGAACTAATATGAATCCGCCCTTTACGCGGACCCCACATATGTTCCCTATCCGCTCCTCCTCAGTTGAGCATGTGCGGTCGCTCTGACTATCAAGGCCCTTTTTTCCTACATGACCAAATACACGTTGGACGTAGAATAACCTAATGAGGGGCAAATTCAGCTCAGGCGGATGAGAGAAGAAGGAGGCCACGCAGGAGACGTGAAGCGGCATTCAGAGATGGCGACTTGAGGAGTATATAAGCGTCACTTCGAATTACACTCTACATACGATAATGAGGAGAGGGTGCGAGGGAGATTCAAAAGAACACCCATTAAAATGATAACATGTCACGCAGTTCAGATTAGCGATAACTGTTGCAACGAAACGGTCTTGAAAGATCTGGCGCCAATATGGCGGCCATTAGAAATACTACGAGGCAAATGGGAGTTCTCCATTTCATGAGCCTTTTTTGCCATCCACACACTCTCGTCTTTTTTTCTCCCGAAATAATTGTCAACTATTACGAATCATGTCGATCGCTGTTGTCACACTACCAAATCAGACAAAAAGTCACATCTCTTATGCCTGAATAAAGGGATGAAGTCGTGCTGGCGAGTGGGCGGAGCTATCCGGGGCGGACCATCGATCACTTGTGGCGCGCAAGATAACATGCTCTGATCACGGAATAAAGTGGGAAAAGTTTGGAAGCTCGCATATGGGATCGACTGAGGATTAATAATTCTGTGGGTCATTCTCATTGGAGGGGCTGACTTATTGAGAGAAAAGGGTAGAACCAAATGATCTGGGAGGCCTCGCCCACATTCTGCACGTCTGCGCTCTCTTACAGGGTTAAATGACGTTTGATGGGTTCCGGTGTAACTTGATTCAGAATCATTCAATATAGGTGAGGTACAACCCGAAAAAAAATCTGGTCGCAGTAAAATGGTTCAACCGCTCCAATCGAACACCAATCTCAATCATATTCCCCTCGGAAAAACTTAGGGCCTCAATCTACTCCTGAGGAAAATTGTGCTCAGGAAGAGCGCATACAAGCACTGAACTTTCAAGCAACCCGCCAATGAGCACCCTTGGCTGCAATGATGTGATGGCAATGTGACAACATGAACCTTGATTTTAATTTTGTATGTATGAGGTCCCTTACGAAGTGCAAGCGGCAGAGTACTATTCAGTGATCTGCTGTTCCACAACTTGTTTACCCTGGATCTGTAGTTTATACACAAGAAAAAAACAAACCAGAACAGAGTTTTTATGTTGGTAGTGAATCAAGGGGAACAATAGAGGAAACACCTATCATTGTACCATCCCAAACCGGTTTAACGATATAATCCATAGAGATTTAGAATTAGGGATCGACAACGGGGCGACGATGAAGTAACGGGCGACTACTGAAGAACAAGTAACAAAAAGTAGTTGGCACGTGTCGTCTGGTGTTCGCGAAAACTGGCGATTATTTAAGTGATAAGTGGCAGAGAATTCCTTGATAAGGTGATGCCTAAGCTGCTCATAATCGGACGATTTCGATCCTTCTTTTACTACAATTCACTTCACACCCACTTATGGTCGCTAGCAATTTCCCTTTTAAGTAACTCTGGCCTTTTGATACACTGGAGAGCGTTTTAAAGACAATACTAAAGTTTCCGGAGAAAGGATGGTGGGAATTTGAGCGTATACACCGACTTACGCAAAAAATCAACATTTTGAGCGGGTAGTGATATAGTTAGGCTATGGAACAAAAATGATTAATTTATTATTATAAAAGCTGTCAAAAATGTGATCCCCTCATCAATTTACTTCCAAAACTCCAAAAATTGGTCAACATTCATGGATTAATTGTTAACGTCTCATTTGTTGGAAACGGAACTATCTAGGAAAGCTCAGAAGGACAGGGTTCCCCTGATAAAAATAAAGACCCTAAGAAATCCTTCAGGAGAAGAATTTTAGGTGGTTATGATTTGGCCCAAAACTTTAAGGGGAACTGGATAATCATTGAAATGTCACACGTGGGTATGGTATCAATGCCATTCCATCGGGACAAGTTCTTTGTAGGATTGATGACGAATAAAGATTCCTTTGAATTCTTCTAAGATTACAAAAAGAAGTTGAATAGGCGATGCATTCCAAGGAAGATAATTATCATT